AAAACGCTGAGTTTATGTTCTATAAGAGAAATGAAACTTGATACTTACTTGGGTTGATCACATTTGTGAACCCCGTGTTATTATTGTGACAATGAATAAACAAAAATGTGAAAAGAGTGAGTATTGATTATAGCATGATCAGTGGAGGGAGTTCGTCTAGGAATTGTGAGTAGAGAAAAATTCATATGGTATTAGGCCACCCTTCGGTGTAGGGGGTATAGCCTTATCCTACAATTTGTCGAGGGACTGTCCCATAGTTTGTTGAGAGACTGAAACCTAGCTTTCTCCACTAGTTTAATGAGCAGAATAGCTTAGGGTATGAGACACCCCAGAGATTCGAGAAGTGGGGAAGCCGTGGTCTGAGAGTGAGTCATGTGATCTTTGGCCTAATCATACCTCATGATTGGTGAGTTTGGGTAGTCCAATCACACAAACAACGCCCTAATTAGTGTTATAGCTCACAATTTCAATTGAGGAAATAAGTAGGGTATAAGGTTGGTTGATCATTACCTATATAAATTTATGATGTGTCACACGTGCTAAGTTATGGCAAGTCGCGTGTGAATGAGGGGCCATGGTCAATATCTGAGAATATTGTGATAATGCACCTAGTATATGTGAGATAAAGAGTAATAAATGAGGAAATGATGAGTTATGATGTGTGTGTGTATGTTTTAAGTACTTGGTTTCCTATGCATGTGTTTGTTTATAATTGATATACTTTGCATAGGGTAGGTTTTATCTTATTTACTGAGTGGCTAGACTCACCCCTTCATTTAATACTTTTCAAGCTCTAGCTCAGTACAAAGAGGGAGAGACTTAAGAGGCTAGAAATTAGCATATTCCTATAGTATGCCTCTAGTTTAGATTTATTTTATGTAATAGCTTATGTTGCCAACTCTAGATTGCATGTTATCACACTTGCACTATTTTTGTTGTTACAAATGTTTGATTTGTATTTTGGGCCTGAGTAATTATGTATGATGAGATACAATTATTTATAGGGCTTAAAAATACTAGTGCAATGTAGAAAATAATGTTTTAGACATGTTTTATTCAATTTGAATACAATACAATGAAAAATTGCCTCCCCCTGTTTTTGGTAAAAAGGAGTTGCGGCGTGAATTTTGTTATACTATGGAATAGTGCATGTGACATGTTGTACCAGTAGTCCTAGGTCTAATGGACAGTTCCAGGTGTTAGAAAAGGCTTTTGACACTTGTTGAGGCTTTTGGACACCCATTTGTGTGAAAGTTATGAAAGTAGTTAAATGTGTTTGAGTGTCTAATGACTTATTTTAGAAGTAAAACCTGTGCTACTAGTTAGATCATGTTAAGAGTTTTTTGTAGACACCTAGATCACATCATTCGAACATCGGATGGAGAATTGAGGCAAGTTAGAAGTTCCTGACAGCAGAATTACTTGATTTTTCATGCAACATGCCGCGGCACATTGCGCAGATAGCAACACGTTAGGGTGCACAAGCCACGGCACATTGCCTTATATTATAGCACATGTTTTGTTTTTTCAACAGTTTTTGAATTCTTTCATTCCTCTGAGGTATCCCATACTTTAGAAACTTATTTTTACTCTGATATAAAGAATTTTGATTGATTTAAACTCTTTGTTATTTAGAAAACTTTAGATCTCTTGAATTTAAACTAAAACTTGGTAATCACTCTTGGAGTCAATCCCTTGATTATCATGAGTTTTATTGGTTAATTGTGTTTAGTGGAGTGAGATATTACGTTGGATGCCTAATCTCTTCACTTCTTCAAACTCTATATAAAGTTGTGGGAGGCTCCTATTGAGCATAACAGAGGCAGAATTGCCTTCGATGGCAATATAGCATCATAAAGCAGACCCTTCTCTTCCTTCTTGGATGGAGAAAAGAGTACAGTCAGTGCATTCAAGTATTGGAGCAAACTATGGTCAACCTATTGCTCCTTATCCCACTTGTTGCAACTAAGGCGTTCATAGCCTTGCAATTAAGGCAGTCGTGAGTCTAATGTAGACCATCGCATATAAAAACATGGCTTGAGGCATCACGCTTGGTGAGGATGGGTTATCTTGTTTAGAATTTCACCAGAGGATTTACCACCATCCTTACAATCAGAACTTTTCTTTTGTCCTCCTTTATCTCCCTCACTCTTACAAGGATTAAACTTCTTGGGTCTTGGTAGAGTAGTCAATTAAGTACTTAGTAGCCATAATTGCCCTAGAGTTTGCACCTTGCGTCTGTTAAGTTCTACTTTAACTTAGTATTTAAAGCCCATCCATGAAGTAGAAAAGAGCCTCCTTGTCGGATAGGCCTTTAATCTCGAGCATGATGGTAGTAAACTCTTTGATTGTAGTCAGGCTATACCAGTTGTCTTAACCTTCGGAGCTACCTCGAGCCTTCATTTTAGTATTGTAGGGAACAAAGTACTTGCTAAGTTCTAACTTAAATAGCTCCCTCGATATGCTTTTTGCACTACCATAGTTGAGCTACATCTAAAAGGAAAGTTAAAGCATTATTGATTTTGATTAAGTCATTTGTAACCCCCATGGCCTCAAAGTACTGTTTTAGGCTAAAGAGAAAGTTCTTCACAATTGTCGCATTACACACCCCATTGTACATTGTCGGTTTAGGCACCTTTACATTCTTGAGAAAGTAGTATTTAAGTATTACAACTAATATGACTGCCCCTGCATGATGATGAGATTCCCAACTCATGGTGAATCTCATCCATTTGAGAGTATAGACCTTGCAATTTGTCCTCGACGTATTTGCAAAGATCAACAAGATCATGTGTAAGGGAATAACTATCCTTCCCAATATCACAGCCAAGTTCTTCAATCATCAACTTGGTAGCAGGACATGACCTCAGCATTCTCTTAGATGAGATTGTTGAGTTGATCGTCGAGTTCTCTCATAATGCACCTTACAGTCTCTATGTGAGATTCCAAGCTAGCAACTCGGGGTTCAAGGGACTCACCTGCAGGAACCTTGCTCTTGCTTCACTTGGACTTGATATGAGTTTGCTCCTCTTGTATGCGAGCTTGCTCTTGCACTTCTACGCTAACAACCTTTCCTTTCTTGGTTACCATTGCGCAATACCTTCCTCAAGAACAAAACAATTGAACCATTGCTCTGATACCAACTGTCACGAGGTTAGTCTTTCAACCCTTTTGTAGCACTTAGACAATCTTATTGAAAGATGCTAAGTAAGCTTGATTTGTAGAAAAGTAGGATGCTTGACTAAATTGAGGAAAGGGAAAGCTTGAGAATAAAGGGTAGTGAGAGAGTTTGGGAAATGTGAGAGTTGTATTGCTTGAGAAGTTAAAGATGAGAGGAACTTAAGGATGGTTACAAATAAGGAGGGGTGAGGTATTTATAAACCTCCCCTTCATTCTAGGAAAATTTCCACCTCTTTAATGAATAGTGGAGATTAAATTGATCCTACGGCTATCACTGATTTTTTTAGATTTCTCTCCTAGCTATTTATAATAAATATCTATATATTTACATGAAAGTATTTAGAGATTATCTCAAAACATGTTTGGAACATTCTAGAATATTCTGGAGTATCCTAGAATATTCTAGATATCTTCACATTCTTCCATAAGCTTCTAGAACCTCTAGATCCTTTTAGGTTCTTTCAGATTGATCTAGATATTTCTAGATTATTCTAGATGCTTCTAGAACATGCTGGAACATTCTACATTTCCTCTTGAATGTCTTGAAATACTCTCTTAAGGTTAACTCAGAAGCCTCTTGGAGGGTTTTGAAGCCTTCGGCCCACTTAACCTCGCGAAAATGTTGTAACACTTATCTAACAAATCCCCCAACCCAAGATTGTATAAAATAATTTATTTATATTTAATATTTAGTTAGAACCTTAGAAAAATGACAATTAAAAAACCTCATAAGATTATTATTATAATTAAGGACCCTAATTATTAAATCTCAACAATAGAACATGATTCTTACTTGGAATTAAGAACCTATATGAGTGTACAAAATACCCTTGAGTAAACATAGAGAAAACAACTAATTGAGTTTGACTTGGAAAAATCAAGAAAAACCAATATTGAAATTATTATTATGGGTTAAAACTATTATTAATCTTAGTTGAGAAAATCCATGATTCACACTAAGGAATGTGATTAACATTAGTTTCAACCCATAATAGTAATTTTAGTGGTTCTAACCCCTGATTAGTAATTTAGTAGATTTTTTTTTAATTTTCTAAGTGGTTTACCTATATATCAACAAGCATAT